GTGAGCAGTGGGGGAAGGCTGATCTAGGTTATCATTGCCTCAATAGTCCACGCCCGCAGCACTCGCCGGGGAGGGAGGCTTTTCCCTGGCAGGCACCTGCTCCACACCTGGGCACTGTCAAGGCATGATGAAGGCCGTGGCTGAGCCACCTGCCCCCATGGAGACCTCAGAGAGGAAGGCAGTGTGACCCCGAGGGAAGATGTAGTGGAGTGCGTACAAGCCTGTCACTGTAGAACTAGCCTGATGAATTGGATGTTCTCCAGGCCCCAGCTGCGAGTTAGCCCATTTAGCTAGGGGCTGCTGCGCACGCTGATGATGAAGCCAGAACCAGGCTGTCTCTGGAAGGCTTTCTCTATTCCAGAATCTGCCGTGCACGGCGGTTCACCCGGCTGCACCTCTTCAGTACATGGATCCCAGGGCCTTGCCATCTTAACCTCAGGGAACAAAGCTCACCTGTTTCTTCCCATCGGCATTTTTTCTATCTCCTGAGTGCCATGGCCTGTCATTCTCTCAGGCTCTGAACCAGAGGGAGCTTCCGGTCTGGCCATGCTGGCCCGCTGCCCCCCCCCCCCACCCCCCCCACCCCACCCCCGGCAGGGGATGCTGGCACCCTATAGGTCTACCTCTGAAACTCCCCCCACAGCCCCACCCCCTGGGCCTCCCCCCTGTGCTTGCCCCCATCTCAGGGCATCTGCGCCAGCCCCTCATCCCTTGCCGCCTCCTCGCGATTGTCCATCGTAACTGCTGCAAGAGGAATGTGCCTTGCATGTGGCTCTGAAGGTAGAGTGTGAATTTAAGGGCGCTTTGTGAGCCCTGGTCCCGGGTTACATTAACCTCGGGGTCAGCTGTTTGAGACCACCAGCTGACCCATGTAAGCAAGAAGATGGCTTTAGACTCCTGTAAAGAGTGACAGTCTCAGCCACCCCTGGGGGCGGTTCTGCCCTGTCATACCGGGTGACTCTGAGTCGGCTTCCACTCGATGGCAGGTTGTTGGGTTTGGGTGAGAGAGTTCATTTAACCTCATCACGTTTCTTTGTCTACAGAATTCAATCCAGACACCATAGCTGGTCTTTCTAGCTCCTTCGTACCACCACCCTCCAGCCTCTCTCGCCTATCTCCCCGCATCTGCCGTGGAGGCCTGTGGCCTTCAGCCCCAGGGAATCTGACCAC